TTATAGGAGGCTACCATTGGAAATTTCCATTAATCACACTTGCCAACTTTGCCTGAAATGGGATTCCTGCATTGCTAACAATGTAACTACCATATGCTTCAATTAATGGCCCTAAAGGGTGCCAATAATCATGCCAAATGTAATATTTGTGCCACCAACGAGGGGTTGGATCAAGTGGCAAGCTGCTTGTTCCAGCTTAAGCAAGGTCTCGAGTTCGAAATCTTGTGTACGCAGTAGCCTTCGTTGGGAGACCCACCCACCATTCTGGTGCGCCACAGCTGGTCGAGTCCGGAGTAGTCGGGGCGAAGCCTCGGATACCCGGCGGAGCCTCGGATACCGGGCGGAGCCTCGGATACCGGGCGGGAAACCAAAAAAAAATGTAATATTTGTGCCATCTCCCGGGATGTGCTCTATAAGTCCCTTTGCTATATGCCGAAGCTTGAGGATTTTTCTCCAGCCTCAAGATGCACCAGCTAGTATGTTGAGTGTCCAAAAGCTTTTGCCCTTGATAAGGTATTCATGAACCTAGGCTACCCAAATTGATCCTACCTTGGAGAATAGAAGCCAAATATGCTTGAGAATACACATTTGGTTCCATAAAACTAGGCTCTTGAGACCTAGACCACCTTCTTGTTTTGGAGAGTAGACGATAAGCCAATTTACCTTAACCCCATAGGCTTTTTTTTTTTTTTTAGATGAATCAAAATATTTTATTATGATGAGGAGTACAAGGGGTACTCTACTCACAGTCTCCATGAGACATTACAATAGATCACCTAAGAGGACATTCAAAAATCAAAAAACTGAATGTCTGACAGCGTAATCTAGTTTTTAGTGATTTCTTGTACACATAAATTAGGGAAATTACACCAACTAAAAAAGGAGAACATAGTGTTTACAGATTTCCCCCTAATCCATGCAAAAGACCTCCTTTGAATTAGATCAAATATTTTTTCCTTTTCCCATTGTTGTGAGTTGTGAATAATTTTGTTTCTTGTGTACCATATGGACCATGTCACCACCAAGAATATGAAAAACCAAACATCAGCTTTAACTAGTTTCTTTATCCCTTGGCTATGAGCTTCGCAAAGAAGAGAAATAGAATTGGAGAGGCATTAAGTGGTATTATTCCATAAGAAGGCACTGGAAATCTTTGCTAACTCTTTTATAACTGCCTTGGGCAGAATGAAGACAGAGCACCAAAAATTAGTGATGTTTTGTAATCATTGAAGTGATCAGTTGCAATCTCCTAGCAAAAGAAAAGTGTTTTGCTGCCCAAGATGTCATTCTATCTATAATCTTTGCAGTGAAAGGCTGTAAACCCTTTTGTGATAGCTTTCTTGTGATCAATGAAACCCTAAGGTAACAAATTGGCAAAGAACCAATTTTAAACCCAAATTTCTCAATGAGGTGCTTAATGTGTACATCATGTAGCCCACAACAAAATAACTCAGAGTTGGCATAGTTGACATGTAGCCCAGATATTGTATAAAATTACTTCAAGATATCATTTATAGCATCAAGTGAGGCTATACTCCCATTAGTAAAAAGTATCAAGTCATCTGCAAAACACAAATGTGTAAATTGTACTTTCTTACATTTTGGGTGGTTGGCAAATTTCCCTTCACTAGTAGCTTGATTTAGCATTCTTGAAAGCATTCCATGCAAGCTACAAAAATGTAAGAAGATAAAGATTGTCCCTGCCTAACACCTTTTCTCCCTTGGAAATAGCCACATAGATTGCCATTAAAAACAATTAAAAACACAGACATAGTGATGCAGATCTTGAGTAAGTTGACAAAATGAGCAAGAAATCCGAAGGATATCAAAACCTGAAAAATAAAGTTATAAATTATAAATTATTTTTAATCATTAAATTAAATTAAAGTTTAATAATTTTAATGTCGTTAATAAATTTAATACTGCCAGGACCGTCACGCAATCATACACCCAACCGACCGAAGGTGGACCCCATCAACGACGAACTTTTATGGGGCCATGGTCATTTTCATTCGTGGGCGGCAAGTAAAGTTGGATAAGGAAAGTGACCCGACATGTTGTCATTGGGTGGGAGTTTTTTTTTTTGGCTCACACATGGGAAGTTGACTTGACTTTAGACCTTCACTCCAGAAAGTGCGTTGCCCGATTTACGAGATGTCTAGAAGCATTGAAAGGGAAACGTTTCATTGGTTCTTTTGCCAAGATGGGACAAAAATTTTATGACACTTTTCTACCACTCCCTTCTCTCCCAAAATAAGATATTGTATTCTTTCTCAGATGACGGAAAGGAGTAATGTTTTTGTTTCATGGTCTAAATTATTTATGATGGTATAATTATAATATTAT